TAAAAAGGAATAGGATCTCTATTATACTTAGCCTTATTTACTAAGCTAGATATCTTATATTCTATTATTTCCTATACTAGATTCGCGGTAAAGCCTAATTATATATATTTTAAGGCTTTAAATATAATTTAGAAATATTTAAATAAATTCCTTAGCCTAAAGATTAAATATAATTATATTATCCCCTTTACCTATCTATATATAAAGGGTTTTACTAACTCTAGCTAAGAGTTAGATTTAACGGACGGAAAATCCTTTTTTAGTTACTATTTTTATATATATAATAATATAATAAGCTAGGCTTACTTTAAGTAGAAAGCCGTTACCCTTTCTACCTATAAAGTAAAGTATATTAGCCTCAGGGAGGTAAATAAAAAAGCTATTTATTTAAATATACTTTTTAAAAATATTACTAAGGATCTATTTATTAAGATTCTTAATACTATACCTCTTATTTTAATAGATAATACTACTACTATTAAATTAGTAGAAAATCCGAAATTTTATAAAAGGTCTAAGTATATAAGATTAGCTTATTACTATACTAGAACTAGTATAAGAGAAGGGGAAATTAGAGTTTTTTATATTAAATTAAAAGAAAATATAGCTAATATTTTTATAAAGGAATTAAGACTTAGATTACTTTATAAATTTAAAGACGGTCTATCCTTAATATAAGTTCCTAAGTAATTAAAAGGGGTTTTTAGATATTTCTTATACTTTCTATATCTTTCCCTTACTAGGTTTTTCCTTTTTAGGTTTCCTAAAGAAATATTTACTAGGTTTTTATCTATTAAGATTTTCCTAGTAATAATAAGTTTTACCTTATATAAGGTTATCCTATAAATAATTATTATAACTATAGATTTTTCCTACTATAGGGTTTTTCTATTAGTATATACCTAAGGATTTTATTTCCTAAGAAAGAATAGGTTTTTATATATCTTATTAAGGTATAAGAGTAGTTTTCCTAAATTAGGTTTTTAACCTATATATATACTACTATAAATAAATTAGTAAAGAGTATATAAATCTACTCTTTAAGGGAGGCTATAAGGAATAGTGTTTTCCTATTATAAATAAAGTAGCTATACTATACTCTCCCGATTATATAAGCTAATAAGTAATATATTAATTAAAAATAAAATCCTATCCTATAGAGTAAGAATCGCTCGTTATTTTATATATTATTATATATTAAACGGGTTGCCGGTTATCGTATAATCGGGAATCGAAGGAATAGAGCTAGCTTAGAATACTAGCTAAGACCTTTTAAGACCTCTTAAGAATACCGGCACGACTAACCTCCTTTAAATATAAATATTAGTAGAACTAAGATACTTCTAAATATACTTAAGGTATTATAGAATCCTTTAGTCTTAGGGCTATATAGCAGCCTAAATCTAGTCCTAAAAGGTTCTTCCGTTTAGCTATAATTATCTATATAAGATAGTATATCCGCTAGTAGATAGAGATAGAATAATTAACTTTAATACCTCTTTTATATACTAATATACTACTAATAAATTCTATTTAAAATCCTACCTTATACTCCTTCTTCCCCTTTATTACGTAGTCTTATATAATTCCTTAATTTCTAAAGATTCCGCTTTTAGTTATATACCTTAAGAATATATAAGGGGAATACTAGCGGCTAAGGGGTACTAGCTATCCTATATAAATAACTTTAGTATCTTTATAATTTTAACCTTAGCTAAGAAGAATATTTAGTAGCTAGAGGCTATAGCTACTAACTTATTTAAATAAGCTAAGGACTAAGGGGTCTACTTTAACCCCTTTAAGATAAAACTTATTTACTTTAATAAGTAAAAGTAGCTTATTTTAAAAGGTATAACGGTAAAAGGCTTATTTTTTAAGGTAAAGCCCTTAGTATAGTAGCTAAGGGTCTTTTTTAATTCTAAGCTTTTATTTAAATAATATATTAAAAAGAAGGTAGCTTTTATATAAGCTACCTTTAAAGGGCTATCTTACTTAACTTTTATATAAAGAGATCTATTATTTAGAGCCTTTAAGTAGCTCTACTAAGCTTATATAACCTTTATAGTAAACTATAGGGCTTAACTTTAGTATAGGAGGCCTAAGACCCCTAAGAGCCTTATAAAGCCTTTTTAAAGGCTTTAAAACTAAGCTCTTTTAAAGATCTTAAAGGCCTTTAAAGGATCCTTTATTAAGGCTTTAAAAGCTAAAGTAGCCCTACCGCTACTAAAGGTATAATTTAAAAGGGTATACTTCTCTTACGCTTTCTAAACCTTATACTTCTTACTTAGTTACCCTATAAGATAGGCTTATAACCTAGCTATATAAGATAACCTTATTAACTTAGGCTTTAACTTAAGGGCCTTAAGCTATATTAAGCTTTATATATAGCTCTTTTACTCTCTTTAAGGCCTTTAAGCCCTTAGCTAAGAAGTAGTACTAATACCTCTTAGCTAGCCTAGCTAGCTTAAAAGACTTTAGGCTATAGCCCTTAGCCTTTTATACTAACGGCTTTAATAAGTACCTTAAGGGGTCCCTTATAGAGACTAACGCTTACTTTTCTATAAACTAAGCCTAGAAAATAAGCTTATTAAAGTATACTATAAGAACCTAGGGCCCTTAATTAAAGTAACTAATATAGAGCTATTTATAATACTAAGGGTCCTAAAAGACTTAGCTAGGAGGCCTTAGCCCTTAAAGCTTAGCCCCCTTAACCCCCTTATAGAGGCCTATATCTTTATAAATAGCTAAGCCGCTATAAGGAAGGTATTAGGTTTCTTAGACCTAGCTATATATATTAAAAGGCTTCTTTCTAGCCTAAAATCCTTTTATAATATATAGCTATACTAGTGCCCTAGCTACCTAAGGATCTTTAATAACGAGCTAGCTAACTAGCTAGCTAAAAGGGGTTTAAGGGCTCTTACTTAAGGGACCTCTTTAGTCTTTATTAGCTATATATAAAGAAAGGTCTAGTAAGCTACTAAGGACTATTAAAAGGGCCTTTAGGCCGCTAAGGTAGCTAAAGGCCCTAAGGCTAAGGGCCTAGGTAAGTAGAATATATCTATTTAAAAGACCCCCCGTTTAGCCTTTAGCTTAAATAAGGACCTTATAGGGAGGCCTAGGCCGACCCTTTTAGCCTTTTACTAGCTCCTTTTTAAGGCTAGCTTCTTATTTTCCTTCTTAAAAAGGACTAATAAGGTAGACCGAGATAACTACCGTTATAGCTAAGGAAGGTATATAGCTAGGCACCTTATCCTAAGGTGCCCGAACTATAGGAGGGAAAGAGAGGTCCTTTATTAGACCTCTATAAGGTAAAAAGAGGCCCTTAGCTTACCTTTTCTCTATAGCTTTAAGGAAGGAAAGGAAGCCCTTTTAACCTTCTTAGCTAAAATAGATATAAGAACGGCTAAGTAGCTTAAAAACGAGTAACCTAGGGGCCCTAGGGCCCTTAGAGGGGAAAATTACTACGTAGGAGGAACTAAACTAACCTTTCCTTTATCTTTACCTTTATAGCTACCCTTTCCTTAATTATTTATAAGCCCCTAGGCTCTATAGCTAGCTAGGACTACTAATAGGAGCCTAGGCCCTTATTAGCCTCGCTATACCCTTAAAGGCTATATATAAGTAATAATATAAAAAAAAATTACTTCCTTACTATAATTACTGCCCCTATAAGAATTAAATATCTTTGCCTAGCCTATCCGACCCCTTACTTCTAAATTTACCTTCGTGCATTTTTTATATACTTCTCGCATCTCTCTTCGCGAGAATACTATCGATTTAAGCACCCTAAAGAGCTATACCGCGCGTCGTATAGAGACCAGATTAGGCAGCGGTCTATAGGTCTCGCGGCGGCGCCCTTAAGCGAGGGCATCGCGAGACTTAAGAACTAGCTTTACTGCCCTTAAAGCGGTCGAGAGATTAAATATCGTATATTGCGATATTAAAACGCGCCTTAAGTATTAAGAGTTCTATTATTTTAATATAAATTTGCACTAAAGCTAAAGTAGCTACGATAATAGGTATAGTCTCGGGCGTCCGGACCCTTTAGGCACGTCCGGCTATTTTCTGCCCAACTCAAGGGCACACCCCTCGCAGGGCCTAGCCAACGGGTAATAGCATCCGTGTGGCGGCATAAGATGGAGACGGGGAAGACCTGCATGCCATCGGCCGAGGGTGAATGCTTCGGAGTTAAAACAGACGGACAACTCTCGATGCGATCGAGGCATCGCCAAGCCCTCCTCGTCAGCCACCCTAGCCGACACGGGATGGGGAGAGCCAATCCGTCCGCCTGCTTGCGAGCTTGCCGTGTGTCGCCCGTCTCTCCATGCAAAAGACCTCTTTGGACTATGGCCGGCCGCCAGCCGTGACAAGGAGCAGACGAGCCACATCTGATCAATCATCAGCGTAGCACGAGCCTCCGCCCTCGGTCTGGAGCGAGACCCAGCACGCCGCCGGCCATTGGCTCATCTCACTGTCGTCTCTCGCTCTCAGTGGTCCGCGGACGGGGAGCCGCTCGTCAACCGTTTGCCAAGCTGGCTTGTGCCTCGTTCAGGGGGTGTGTGTATGTATCCGTACTACCGGCGGCAAGGACCCGTGCAACACAAGGCCATTGCCAAGCTTGCCATCTGGTGTGACTCAATGTCTCGACATCCGTCAGCGCCCATTCACATGTGTAATCTTCGTCGCCGACAGCCGGAGTGGCACGACGACGGCAGCATTCCTCACCAGGCTATTTCCCCCCAAGGATTCACACGGTTGTGTCAGGCCATGGGAAAGACCTCCTTGAAAAGACGGAGGCCGCGCAAGTGGCCCCTGGCAAAACAGTAATACCGCCGTCTGCTTATCAGACACGGGAGTCAAAAAGACAACGAAAAGGGGGTCAGATGGGGGCCAAAAGAAAAGAAAGGAGGAATTATCACAGAAAAAGGTCAGCTTCATCCTCGCTCAATCTCGTTGCTCCCATACCTTTGCTCCGTCTCGGAAAGCGTCCATTCGTCGTGATGAACTCGGATCAGAGAAGCCACTTCTTCGCGAACCGACAAGCCGCCCGGCCCCTTCATGTCATTATCGTCGGGGCCGGTATGGCCGGCCTGACCGCTGGGCTCGGTCTCCAGCTCACAGGCCACCGAGTTACAATCCTGGAGCAGGTCCCGAGATTCCAAGAAACCGGGGCAGGCATACAGATAGCCCCCAACGCGGCCAGGGTCCTCGACAGGTTCGGCGTGCTCGCCGACGTCTTGAAAGATGCGGACATGCTGGAGCGGATATCTCAAAGGCAGGCATTCTTCGTTTGTGTCCTGTCCCCATTCTCCGGGGACGGGCGAGCGTGTTATCGCGTTGCTAAGCGGGCCATGGCCATAGGCGGTACGCAGACGACCAAGAGCTGGGCTCAGCACCAGTCATGCCAAGTGCCGGACGCCGGTACGGAGCACCCGTCTTTGTCATTCACCGGGGGGATCTGCAGAGGATTCTCGTGTTGGCGGCCAAGCGCGCTGGCTGCCAGATCAAGACGGGCCAGAAAGTGATGCGCGTCGACACCACCGGTGCGCCGCGGGTGCAGACCGCAGACGACACCTGGCACCACGGAGACCTGGTCCTGGGGGCCGACGGGATCCGGTCGGCCGTCCGAGGCCACGTAGCAGCCGCACAGGGCCACAGTGAGCGGCTCACGCCGACCGGGGAGGCCGCGTACAGGATGCTCATCCCCAGGGACAAGCTGGCGACGCACGAGAAGCTCCTCAAGCTCCTCAACCAGAACGTCGCCGTGCGATGGATAGGACCCGGTGGCCACGCCATGGGCTACCCCATCAGACACCACTCGGCGTACAACCTGGTGATACTCCACCCGGCCGGTCCTGTCCCACCAGCAAGCGACGGCCGGCAGGGTGTCTGGACCGTCCAGAGAGACAAGGCCGAGGTCGTCGACTTTTGCCGAGGCTGGTCCCCCCTGATGCAGGAGCTGCTGTCGTGCGTGCCCGACGGCGAGCTGACCGAGTGGATGCTGTACACCCACGCACCCCTGAAGCACTGGGCCAAGGACCGGGCGGCCCTCATCGGCGACGCCTGCCACCCCATGCTGCCGTACACGGCCCAGGGCGCCGCCAACGCCATCGAGGACGCCGGGGCGCTCGTCACGGCCCTGACCTGCACCGGCAGCGTCGGCCTCGCCCTGGCCGTCTACCAGGAGGCCAGGCAGGCAAGGTGCGACAAGATGCAGGCCGGCACCGCCGCCGTGGGCACGAGCCTCCACCTGCCGGACGGGGAGGAGCAGAGGCGGCGTGACGACGCCATCCGGCGCGCCACGGCTGGCTTCGAGCAGGGCCTCCAACGCAACCCGGACCTGTGGGCAGACCGGCCCTGGCAGGACTTTATGTGGGGGGTTGACGTGATGAAGGACATGGCCGGCGGTTGGGACGACCTGATGGCCAGGGCCAGGGCTCGGCACGTTGGCCCTTCCTACTGCTGCTGCTGTTGCTTCGTCGAGCAACGCGAGGATGAGAGCGCCTGCCAGCCTCGCGGGCCGCTTTGCAGGCAAAGGAGAAGGGCCACCAAGGCCGTTGTGGCGAAGCGGGCGCTCTCGTGAAGACTGGCGGTTGGACGTGGCGGTTGGTATCTTGCCGCATCTCGTGTCCACCTAAAACTCCAACTTGGTGCTTTCCCAACTCTCCGACTCTTCGCCGACCACAAACACAACCTGCGCTTCGGCAATTATCTTGACAGCCCATGCTCTGTTGAGCCGCGGCATGCGATGTAGCTACTTACATGATGCGTGAATGCTAAAGTAGGAAACGGGTATATGCGGCCTCTCCCTAGATGTACCCCTGAGAGCATCCTCTGGTATTCAGCCAATTCAACAGATAAAAAAGAAAACACATCTCGAGACCCTCCCTGCCTCTCCCTTCTAGCCCTGTCTCCGCCTCCAGGAAGAGAGGGCAAGCAAAATAGGCCCGAGACTCGGCCGGGCATCGCCAGACACCCCGACCGTCTCTCACTCGACCTCGGCACCTCGGCATCGCATCTCGAGCACCCACTTGCCGTCAAAGTCAATGCCTCTCCGCACCTTGGTCCCGGCCTTTCTCCACACCGCGCTGCCCAGCCCCATGTCCGCAATGAACAACCGCCACTCGTCCTCTTGTGCCGCGTTGCTGTTGTTGTTGCGGAGCTCGAGGTCGCTGTCCGTCGGCGGCGTCACGGCCTCGAGCAGCCCGCGCTTGGGCGCCCCGATCGCCACGACGTAGCGGGGCTTGACGTACAGTTGGCCTCCGTCAATAATGGCAATCTTGCCCGTCGTCGGGTCGATTCCCGTCGGCACGTCGACCGAGAGCACAAACGCCTCGTTGCGGTTTGCCCATTCCATCAACTCGTATACGGTGGCCTGATCCCCTATCCTCAGCTCCTCAAACGAGATGGTCAGTCCCAGCAGCGCATCGATGATGAGCGAGACCGAGACGGGAGATCCAGAAGCCGAGCTCTTGCGCAGATGCTCAAAAAAGTCGTTCTTGCCGAGGACCTTGCCGCCGAAGCTTCGATACAGCTGCATCTGGCGCCTGAGATCCTCGAGCAAGTCTCGTTCGCGTTCGACGCCGACCAGGCAAACAATGACATCCATGTTCTTGTTGCGCAGGTGCCGGCCCGCTGCCAGCGCACGGATGCCCGACTTGCTGTTGCCGGCCAGTATCACAATGGACGAGCTGTTCAACGAGGCGTCGGCCGATGAGCCGGCCACCGCAAGCCCAAAGCGAACCTTCATGGCCGGGTCGTCCAAGGCAGTCACTGCCACCTCCGCGATGCCGCGACCCGCATTCTCCGCCATCAGGCTCTCGCTGAAGCCAAGCTCGTTTGCCGCTATGTTCTCCAGGTTGAGCATCTGGAGCGTAGAAATGGTCTCCAGGCGACGGTTTGAGGGCACCAGGTAGAGCCCTGGCTGCTGAACTTGTTGCTGCCCAGAGTCAGTCACGTGGCGGTCCGACAACCGGGGAGGGAGCACCTCTTCCGACAGCGAGAAACGTACGGTGGAGTTAACCCGGCTGAGGGGATGGCCGCCCATGACGTTGCTGGCCTTGCGAGACTGTGAACGACGAGATGGCACGGGTTTGCTGTCGGCTCGCCGCGCGCCCTGCCCATTTCTGTTCTCTCTCCCGCTTAGCCTGCCCTCCTCGTTGACACCGACATCGGCCTCGCTGTTCCAGAAGTCGTTGTGCTGGGCCGCGTTCGATGGCATGTCGAGCACGTTCTCCGAACTGTGCAAGTTTTTGCCCCCCGCAGTCCCCGGCTTGGCGCGGCGATTGTGGGAGACCAGGCGGCTCGCGTCGTCGACCTGGTCCTCTTTTCGCATCTGGTCGAAGATGGTTCGCTTGTCGAACTTGGCCAGGTTGTTTTCAAAGTCAAAGTCGCCCATTTCCTCCGTGACATCTTCCGAGGCCCAGCCGTTATCCTGAAGGCCTCTGCGGGCCTTGCCCTGGCGCTTGAGGCAGTTGAAGGGCTGAAACGAAGCGGTGCTCTCCAGGATGGGCGTCTGTCTCCATCCCTTTCCGTGGGCGCTCAGCACATTGGCCACTGGCGTGCCGTCGATTTCGTGGGCAGCTTGTTCGCCCCCATGGCTTCTTGGTTGCTTCGTATGCCGAGATCGAGTTTTCTTCTTCTGCAGCGGAGATTCGTACACGCCTGACTGCCTGCCATTGCTCTGTTCCCTAGATGGGCTGTCGACCTTGAGACCTTTAATCGAGTCCAGCAGGTCCTGCTCAGGCCGTCTGGCAGCTTGGCTGCCCTCCCGCTGGGGGGAAGGCACTGGCTCGGGCTCTGGGATAGGCCAGCCACCCTTATCAGACCGGTATTGCTGGGCCGAAGCGGTTGGCGTGCTCGAGATTGGACGGCGGCCCATGCTCAGAATGGCGGGATCGATGAATGTAGCCTGCGAGGAAGGCTGAGTGAACGCGGGAGCGGGGATTGGTTCGGGTGCCGGAGCTGTGTAGGACGTGGGAGACACTCGGCCGCGCGCCATCTCCGACAGGTCTGCAATGTTGGACGCCACAATCTTTACCTGGCCTGTCCGCTCTTGGGTGGCAGAATTGTAAACTGCAGGTAAAGAAGCAGCATCAGCAAGAGTGAGACGAGAGACAATACGCAATGCATGGCGCGACTACCATTTGTTAGAGTGAGGCTGTTGCCCGCCTCGACATCCCTCACGATGCCAGTCAGACGATAGCCTGGCGGGTCCTTGAGGATGACCCTCATGCGCAGCCCGATGAACTGGCTCGCCATCTCGGTACAGTTTGAATGGCCTAGGCGTTTGCCGAGCCCAACGGCAGCCGGTCCCGATGTAGGAACGAGGGATAGGGTCGCCGGGTTTCTCGGAATGTGAAGAAAACGAGACCAAGCCGCCACAGCGTGCACCGTGACCAACAAGGAGGAGAAGTATCCGGCCGAGGCGCAACCGCCTCGGAGGAAAACTGGACAGTCACCTCAAAGACCGGCCAGAGGATTCCCCTCCTCTCGGACACAGAACACACGCCCGAGCGCGTCACTGACGAGTCGTGACCGGTAAAGTGGCGTTCGGTCGGCAGCTTTCAGGCCGAAGCCAGCACGCTGCGGAGTGGTCCGCAGGAGCTGCCTCGTAAAGTCGAGATAGCTTGGAGAAGGGGGAGCCTCGCGAGGAACGCGCTTTTTCGCAGGAGAGAAGGCGCGAGAGAGTGTGTCGCCGCTCGGAGGATGCGACAAGGCTTTCCAAGGATGGCGTGGACCACGAGTGGCTCCAGGGCAGGGAGAGTCGTAGTGCTGGAAGCCGGCCCGGGGTTGGTTGATCGAGGGCCAAGACGTCAATACGCCGCCGCCGCCGCCGCTGCCGCAGTCGACCTTTTCGTTATCGATAAGGGGTACTTACCGGGGTGGATCAACCTGTTCCGTACGGAGTGCCGTACTCGTACTCCGTCCTTGCCAAGACGCCTTCCTGATGAGCTCATCCATAATACATCACACTTTGGGCTTGTAAACTTTGCGTCTGTAAGACGAGACAAACAAGGCTGGTGATGCGGAAGCTTGCTCCTCAATCAGACTGGCGGGCGAGACCCGCGTTTTTTTTAGCACCCGCGAATCCGCCTCTGGACGTACATACACGCGCAGTAGCTTGTTAGTATTTGGTTTCACTCGGCGAGCCACGCCAACTACTGCGCTCTCCCTTGTTGCCACAATGTCTACATGTCCATAAGCCGCTCGCTGTCCTGACACCTATCAATACCCACACGACGCCATTGCATCCTCGTCGTCGTCCAGGTCGATGATCTTGGCAGCGCCTTTGCCGGGCCGCGCCAAGGCCTCGGGCCGCGTCCCGTTCCTGTTTGCGATAAAATCCGAAATGTTGCCCGGCCTCGCCGACAGCTGCTCGACAGAGTACAGCTTGTCGTAGAAATCCACCACTCGCGCGTGAGCCATCACCTTGGACTTGTCAAAGCCCAGCACCCGCAGCCCCTGCTGGCACGTGGCTCGGCTCAGGGCGACGTATGCTTGCCCCTTTTCAAACACCCGCCCAAGGTTGACCGTCACCCTCTCGAGCGTCTGGCCTTGGGCTTTGTGGATCGACAGCGCCCACGCGAGAATCAGTGGCAGCTGGGTCCGCTTCGCCTGCACTTCTCCGTTGGGGAGCTCCACCTTCCACTCCTCCGGCTGGCACAGAATCACGCGCGGCACGCCGCCAGTCGACACGAACTGCACCACGGGGAACTTCCGTCCGTTGGACGAGGACACGTCGGCGTCGCGGCTGAAGCCCTTGAGCTTCCTCTTGGCTCTGGCCATGTTATCGTCCATATCGCTGTCGTAGGAATTTACGCTCGTCATTTCAAACGTCTTCTCGTCCGAAAAGGCAATGACCTTGCCCAGCGACCCGTTGACAAGCGTATCGTCCAAGTTCTTGATGAGCATTACTTGCGCGTTGACTTTCAAGTCCAGGCTCTTGGGCGACATCATGTTCCCCAAAAGCTTGTCTCTGATGGCCGGGTCTCCTACGTCCATGGCCTCGTACCGGTGAACTTGCCCGGGCAGTTCCCGCAGCCGCCTCTCGTTGGAACCGTCGACCTGAGCTCGCGTGGGGTACAGCTCGGCCGAGTCGACCCCATCGTCGAACTTGAGCGGCCTTGACAGGGCCTTGAAAGCCTCCACCGTGCTGTGGCTGATTCTGCCCAGGCGCATCTCGTTGAGCATCGCAGCAAACTCGGGGTCGCGTTGTCGGAAAATCTGGGTGAGGCCAATGGTGTGGTCGATGGACGTGCTCCACGTGGCGGCATCAAAAGCGAATTTGATGCCCTCGCTCTTTCTGTCGTGGTCGGGGACCGGTGGCAGCTGGAAAAAATCACCCGTAATGATAAGCTGGATGCCGCCCCACGGCCGGCCGTTGTTGCGGATGACCCGCCCAACGTGCGAGAGCTTGTCGAAGAGCTCTCCGTCCACCATGGAAATCTCATCGATGATGAGATACTTTGTCTTGAGCCATCTGTTCTTGGCTTTGGGGTTCCGCCTGACCTTCTTGACCAGGACGGGGGCTTCCTCCTTGCCGAGCCCGATGCCTGATGGAATGTGAGTAATGCTGGCGGCAATGAGGACGTTGGCTTCAGAACAGCAGACCGCTCTCGTGCCCGAGATGACGTACCTGAGAAGCTGTGAAGAGTGATGCCCCCGATGTTGCACGCGGCCAGCCCGGTCGATGCTGTCACGGCGACCCGCTCAGGATCTCGCGCATACTTTTGTTTCAGCTCGCTAATGATGGCCCTCATGAGCACCGACTTTCCCGCACCGGCGGGGCCCGTGAAGAAAACACTCGCTTTTTTGTTCACCACCAAGTCCAGAACCTGTCGCTGTTCGCTACTCAGGGAGATGGCAACGGGCTTGGCCGCGAGCGCTGCTTCGGCCTCCCGAGCATCATCTGTTGAAGTGTCTCCTCCGGGAAGACGCTGATTCCGCTGACTTTTGAGCTGCTTCTTCTGCTCCTTGATGGCACTGGCAGACGTATCCCACAGACTGCGTGATTTTGAGGCCGGGGTCTTGGCTCCGGCGGCAAAGGGCATCTCTTGGGGCACATGTTCATCTTGCCGGAAGCTAGCCGGCAGAACTCGCTTCTTGGCCTTTTTGGGGGCAGGGATCTCGAATACCTCGTTCTCGCCGGATGATTCGCGCTTGAGGAATGATGGGTTTGCCAAGCTCGCTCCGTCGGAAAGCGGCCGCTGTGATTTTGGAGGGAGCAAATGAGATGCAGGAGAGGACGACCACGGAATCGGCGCCTCTGAATGGGAGGGGGGAGGGGGCGGCGGCATGCTTTCTTGGGTCAGGGGCTTTGAGGGTGGAAGAACTGGTAGGGCCGTGGGAGCCTCATAGTCGAGGTCAAGGTTTTCGTCATCGCTGAAGTCGTCCTCGGCAAACCACACGGGCACCGCGGCCTTGGCCTCGGCATCGGGAGCCGTCAGGTCGATCAAGGAAGACGTATTCTGTTTGAACGAGTCCGAGTTGCCGCACAGCGACTGGAGCTGTCCCCCATATCCAGCCCTGCTGGCCGGCATCATGTTTACAGGCCGACGGTGGATTGGCTTGGAAGGAGGTTGTGCGACCCTCGCCAACGCGGGACCTGCGCCCGAGCCCGTGTGCCCTAGCTTTTTGAACTGGTCTCGAATGTTTCCGTTTGGCGCACCGGGGCTGCTTGGCGGAAATGGTTGCTGGGCCAGGCCACTACGCGAGGCGGGCGCCTTGCCGCCGCTTGTGCCTTGGTCTCTGCCCCTCGACAGCATGGTTCCGGTCACTCTTTGTGATGGCTGCAACGGGGTCGGGACATGGGCGAGCTGGCTGGCTCTCCGCAGGGCACTGCACGACGTCGGCGAGGATCGGACAGACAGGCAGGGCAAACCAGCCGGCATAAACGGCCTGGCGAGGGGGGCTTGGAGTCGATAGATTCTGGCAAGGGGGGAGGGCTTGGGGACAGGGCGACGAGCACTGCCAGTGAATGCGGCCTCGGCGGGGGGCGACGAGGGGTCTCAATGCGCGCTCGATGTGATCCGGTCCAGTAGCATATCGTCGTCCTTGTTGTCGCTGTCGCCGCCGGCGTCGGGGCACTCTGGTGTTTGGAAGGCGTGGTCAACGCATCAGCGTTTATTCACGATTGACGTGGGGAGCGGAACCAACCAGCCAGTCGCGTCCTGGCAACTGCACGCACGCGCTTAGGCAGGCAGATCTTAATGGCTGCTTAGTCACCAGCGCATGGCCCCGTGCATAAGAGTAGAACTAATCGCACTTATACGTATCTCTAATCGCACTTACCAGCGCCAGCCTGCCCCGCCTACTTGTACCGCGCGAGGCTGGCAAGTATCCGTACCGCCTGAATGCCCGCACCCGCGCTTGCGCCCGCCCGCACACATCACAACGCACTTTTAGCTATATAAGTCAGCCCACCTAAAGTCCGGCACACCCTAACACCGGCACTCTCTATAATACTATCGCGTCGTTAAATATATTATATTGTAACCGCGTTTTCTCGTATATCTCTTACCTTATAATTATAAAATAAATACTATTTATATTAATAATACCTTAGCTTTTTAAGTATACTAAAAACTAGCTTTAAGAAGTACTTAAAGCTATTAAAAATAGGATGCCTTAGCTTTATACTAGTCGAAAGTAAGATATTCTAAGAAGGACCCTCTATATATATCTTAAAGGGGCTCTACCTATTAAGGAGCTAAAAGAGGTATATTAAAAGCTTAGCTAAGAGTAGGAAAAATATATTACTAACTAGGTTCTTACCTAGGCCGCCCTTAGGCTACCTTTAACGTATTATTAGGTTAAGGAATTCGCTAGCCATATTGTTAAGGCTAGTAGTAATACCTATCTACTTAAAAAGTAATAGATTTTAGGCTTTTAGCCTAGAACCTAGAGATTAGTACTATTAAAGGTAGATCTCTTAATCCTACTAGCGTTAATAGTACTTTTATAGCCTATATTAAGGAATAATTTTAATTACTTAAGCTACTAGCTATATAGGTAATCTTATTAAAGTCCTGCTTTATATAGATAAAATTATCGCGAAGTATAGCTTAATTTCGTAGTTCTTAGAGATATCTATTAGTACGAGGAACCTAGGAAGCTAAAAAATAGGTTTTAAAGAAGGAGCTAAAAGGAAGTATAGAAAGGAGGGTAGGGGTATAAAGGGAAGTAAAAGTAGCGATAGCTTCCTATAAAGGTAGCGAGAGATAAGACGGATATACTAGTAACGGCTAGAAAAAAGGGGAAAACCTAGTAAAAAGCTCGGTAGTTAAAAGGATATTAGTAGCTTCTTTAAGTAGGATCTTCTTTATTAATTAAGATACTAGGTAGGTATAAAGAAGGGCGTTAGATAGAGGAAAGAAGGATAATTAAGGTAATATAATAATTACTCCCTTACTATAATTACTACCCTTATAAGAATTATATATCTCTGCCTTACTTATCCGACCCCTTACTTTTAATTTTACCTTTATATATTTTTATATACTTCTTATATTTCTCTTTATAAGAGTTATAAACCTAGGAGGAATATAATTCTTAAACCTTCTAGCTACTATAAAAGGTACCTTTCTTATATCTCTTATAGCTCCCTTTTACCCCTTTAACTAAAAAAGCCGATTTTTAACTAACTTTTCTACCCTTCCTTATAATAATAATAAAAAACGACTCTAACGCCCCTATAGTCTATAAGACGATTCTTATAAAGCCCTAAGATTAAGATAAGTAGGTAAAGGAGCTATAGGCTCGTATAGATAGAACTATCTATAACTTAGTCTTTATTAATAAGTAGGACCCTCTTAAGCCCTCTTTTTATCCTAGGGTAATAGAATTTATAGAGGGAGCTTCCCTCTTCTTTAAGCTAACCTCTATATAGTAGAGAGCCTTTTCTACTACCTTAGGTAACTATAAGAGTTATCGTAAGGAATACCTTTATAAGACGAAGCTACTAACTACTACTTATACGGTAATAACGGAATCCGTTAATACTATAAAGCTAATCTTTCTTTAAAAGGAAGAGACTCCTAAGTAGTAGCTTTTAAAGCTTAAGATATCGATAGCTCCCTTAAAGGGCTATATAACTAACTATATTAAGAAGACCTATATAGCCTACCTAGGAGCCTTTTCTACTAGGAACCTACTAGCTTCTTTATAGCTAGATAAGTAAGAAGAAATCCTTAAGGAAGCTAACTAATACTTCCTAATAAAAGCTTTTTCTAGCTAGTAGCTATAGGATATATCTCTATTAATAAAGTATATTAATAATAGATACTTAACTATCTTTTAAGAGGCTAGCTAGGAACTAAATAAAGAGGCTATTAAAGTATAATAGTAAGTAGTCTTATTCTTTTATAGCTAGTACTTAACTTAGACGGCTCGACCTACTACCCTTATAGCTACTATAGCCCTTATTACTATAGCTCCCGCTACTACTACTATAGCTATTGCCCCTTTAGATCCTCCTCCCTTAAGAGTATTAATACTATCTTTAATAGCTACCTTAGTCCTAGCCCTAGCTCCGCCTCTTACTCTAGGCCCTGCCCTGGTCCCGTTAGTTAGACCGGCCCGACTAGTCCCTTAATAGACCTTTTAGTTCGTTAGTCGAAAAATTAAGGAACTAGTCGAAATCGAACCTCTTTATTAAAATTAGTAATAAAGGGTAAAAAAGGGGGGTTTTTAAGCAGACCTTCTAAATTAAGATAAGGATTCCTTAAAGAAATAAAGGATAAAATAACGAAACGGCTACCTAGCCTATAAATCCCTAGGCTATTAATTATTATAATACTAGTAGGTTTTTAGCGCTTAGCCTTATTAAGGTTATTTAAGGAATAAAGGCCCTAATAGACTATCTTAGTACCTTTTATCTTTAGCTAGCGCTTTTAATAGTAAAGCCGCGCTAAATAAGCTAAGGCTTTATTTAGGTCGGCTTAAGCTTTTAATATTCGCTCCTTAGTAATTTCTTCTTTTTTATTTAATCGATTAAACTCTAGATTTATTTAGGATACTATAAAATATATTAGCTATAAATAATAAGTAGGATAATAAAGTTACTTATAAGAGCTAATCGCTATACTTAACGTATCGTAAGAACGACCTTATTATATATATTTAGTATACTTAGAAGTTTTCTTTAGTATTTTATAGCGGAAGCCGCGCGATAAATAAAAAGAATATAGTATAACGTTAAAATAAAGATAATTAATAGACTTAGCTAAACGAATACGCTTAAGGGTCTTATAAAAACGATCTTTTAATATATAACTAAATATACTATTAGTAGTATATCCTAAGGAATAAAAAGGATAAATAAGGAATATATATACGCGTAATAAAGGTATATTTATATATAGCGGCTAAGGTAGTAGTAAGTCTTATAGATAAGACTAAAAGGAGGGGAGATATTATATTACGACTATAGTTAGCGGGCTATAAAAGAGCTAGCTAAGTTTATATAATAAAGCGGCTTAGAATAATAGTCGGGATAAGAAGTTACTTAAGCTTAGCTTACCTAGAGTATATATAAGCTAAGTCTTAAGGTATATAAGTAAAAGCGGAATTTTAGGAAATTAAGGAATTATATAAGACTACGTAATAGAAGGGAAGAAGGAGTATAAGGTAGGATTTTTAATAGAATTTATTAGTAATATATTAGTATATAGAAGAGGTATTAAAGTTAATAATTCTCTATCTATTTACTAGTAAATATACTATCTTATATAGATAATTATAGCTAAATAAAAGAACCTTTTAAGACTAGATTTAGGATGCCATATAGCCCTAAGACTAAGGAATTTAGTAATACCTTGAGTATATTAAGAAGTATCTTAGTTCTATTAATATTTATATTTAAAGGAGGTTAGTCGTACTAGTATTCTTAAGAGGTCTTAGCTAGTATTCTAAGCTAGCTCTATTTCTTCGATTCCTAATTATATGATAACTAGTAACCTATTTAATATATAATAATATATAAAATAACGAGCGATTCTTACTCTATAATATAGGATTTTATCTATAATTAATATACTACTTATTAGCTTATATAATTAAGAGAGTATATTATAGCTACTTTATTTATAGTAGGAATACTATTCCTTATAGCCTCCCTTAAAAAGTAGATTTATATACTCTTTACTAATTTATTTATAGTAGTATATATATAAGGTAAAAACCTAATTTAGGAAAACTATTCTTATATATTAAGGGCCGGCGTATACTTAGTATAGTAGTATAGGGCCGAATAATTATTTATCTAAAGCTAAGGAGAAAAGAGGAAAACTCTATCTTAGTCGCAATAGTTATCTATCTTCCTTAGTCCCTAGCTCGACCTATATTCGGGTACTATTCGGCCTAAGTTTAGGTTAAGCTTTATTTATATATAGGTCTACTTTAGCCTAACTTTAATACGGTCGCTATAGTATAGCCTTAGCCTTTTATAGGCATAGCCTATAATACTACCCCTACTCTCTATTTTTTATCGGTAGCGCTCCTATTCCTCTCTTACTGCCTTTCTATTATCGCTATCCCCTTTTTCTTAGCGCGCGCGGTCGCTTCCTTCCGCCTTACGCTCGCCCTATCCCTTTATATACCGCCCTTTTATATACCTATTTTACCCTATCCTTCCCTCCTCTACGTATATACCCTTATACTTTACTAACTATATACGTGCCCTACCGCGTATAAATACCCCTTTTCTATCCCCTCTCCCTCTTTCTTTCTTTTTCCTCTTTTAAGCTTTACTCCCTTCGCGCGCGCG